ACTTTGTTTCTAGGTGTTTTTAAAGGTCTAGTTTCTCCAAGGAGAAAGCAGTCTCTTCCTTACAACTTTCAGCCCATTGTAAAAGACCCAGGTTCTAGCTAGACATTGGGCCAGAGAAGAGAAAAAAACCTCCATAAGCGGATGGTAGGTGCACTTGCTTGTGATGCCAGAATCCCAAATTCAAGTCCCCAATTCTTTTAATCTATAATTATTTATACAAAGTAGAACAACTTCAGCGAGACAGAGAAACTCTGCCCAGAATTCCTTTAAGGTTAATGGATAGGGCATTGACCAGGCAGAAGGTGGAAAGAAAGCTCAAGTTCAAAGCCCTTCTCCCATCACCCCCCAAAAAATGCAATCAGGACTGAGCATTGCCATATTGTGCTCGGTGCTGCAGAAACAGAAGAATACATAATCCATACCTCAGACATCTTAAAATCAGTGGAATCACAAAATAGAAGAGGCCTGACTGTGAGAGCATGTAATGAACTGGTAGTGGGTTATGATTGCTCCCTGTGGTAGGTTTATTTAATGCTGTGTTTCATGGCATTCCATCAGCATTAGAAACATATTACCAATCTGTATTTTAATATGCTTCAGCACTTGTAAACTAACAAGTTCATCCTTTTATTTTACTTTTGATAACTTAGTGGTAACTCTTCATCTATTGAAATGCTTACTTTGAATTTTTTAGGTTGGAAACTTACAAGCAGGGAGGTCCAGGACAAGTTCAGAGTAGTTCATAGAGACTAGTATCCTATCTCATGAAATATGCCACCTGCTAACTTCAGTAGGACACTGTAAATAGTATTTTTGACTCGTAAGCATAGCTTTGTAAAAACAGGTAGGGGGAATACTTTGCCCTTGGCTACACAGGTGCAACTCCATTTGTTTCAATGGAAATGCACATACATAAATTGTATGCATGATCTGTTCCTAGCTGTCTTGTTCAAGTACGTTAAATGGCACAGACAGACGCATTAAAGTGTTATAATCTTGAAAACCTGAACAGGATTGTATTCAGAGCAAGCATATTGAAAAATGCTCCAACTCAAATAATCAAGACACCTGTAAATTAAGTGAATTAGCATAATCTTTTTCATCACATAGTGAAATGCTGACTCAAAGAAAGGAGAGTGACATGTAGAGCCTAGGTCCTTTAAAAGGCTTTTTGTGCTTGACACCTGCACTCATACTGTGTGTTTTAAACACATTCATTATCAGCTTTCTGATTTTAACATGCACAGTATGGAGGTAACTCCCTGGAGAGCCCACTTTTGCAAAGTAGAGAATAACTAATGCAGACACAATCAGAGAGCAGTCTAACACTAAGGGTGTGTCAAGACTACAGGGTTTTTTCGAAAAAGGTGGCCTTTTTTGAAAAAACTTCCTCTGCGTCTAGACTGCCACTGCGTTCTTTCAAAATTAAATTGAAAGAACGCGGCTTTTTTCAACCATGGTAAACCTCATTTTATGAGGAAGAACGCCTTTTTTTGAAAGTGCTCTTTCGAAAAAAGGCGTTCTTGAATGCAAACAGGGCTTTTTTGAAAGAGAGCATTCAGACTGCCTGGGAAGCTTGAAAGAAGTGGTTGCAGTCTAGACGCTCTCTTTTGAAAGAGGCTTGTAGTCTAGACGTAGCCAATGGGCACATCTACACAGCAACATTATTTCGAACTATTTTGCAATAGTGCTAGTTATTTTGAAATAATGTTGAAATACTGTCAATCTGGAGAACTTCTTACTCTGACTCCTGTAAACTTTACTCTATGAGGAGTAAGGGAAGTCAGAGGAAGAGTGCTCTATTTCGAAATAAGTGTTGTGTAGATGCTCCCAATTTCAATTTCAAAATAAGCTATGCAACTGACATAGTTCAATTTGAGTAGCTTATTTTGAGATAGGGTGAGTCTATATAGTGGGGCGTAAGTGAGGAGCCAACACACAAACATACCATACAGCAATGGCCATACCAACAAAGCTCCACTACAGAAAGAAAAGATGTGTAGTACCAATTTGGAATTACTTATATGGCTACCTTTGAGCACGGCAGTATACATTTTCATGAAAAATCTAAATACAGTGGTCTGGGGGAGCTGGAAGGAAAAGATTCTTTTTTATTCCCAAATTAATCACTTCATTGATCTCATTGGACTATAGAAAGCAATACTCTGTTGCCAGTGCTAAGACCTAATAAAAAACAAATCCTTATTTTCGTTAATTTAAAAGTTTCAAGCATATTTAAGATACGAGTATTCTCTGGGGAATATTTAAGGAGCAAAAAGAAGTTCTGTATCAAAAGTCTTATGAAATAGCTCTATGTACCCCCTTTGGAAAATGAACGCCCTTAGGGACTGTGTATTGTCCCCTGAAATAACTTGAAATACAGTAAACTTCAATTCAGCACAAAAAAAATCTATGAAAGATGTGAAAACTGAAAATATGGATTCATAAATAAGTCATGTATGTCGAAAGGGAAGAAAGAATGTTATATATTTAGATAGAAAGAATATGAATACCCTATTTTATTTCAGACCAAATTTTCTTTTGGCTTCTTAGTTCTCCTGGTAAGTAGTGATGTGTAGTCCATTTTTAATAGTATTCTCTAACAAAACAGATATTCTTTCACTTATGAGATAAAAATGATTGTTTGACCTTAAAACTCCAATTTCATTTATGTAATCCACCCAGATGCATAGGTACTGAGTTGTGAACTCATAATTTTAGGCCTCACAGAGTTTAATATACTGTAGTGCTACACTCTAATTGTAAGCCACCAACAGATAACCCTTAGAGTCACAAGAATATTTGTATTACTTTTTATTTTGAATGTAAGATTTTTTTTCCAGGATAACCCATGGCACTCAATATTTGAGTTCTATCCAGAGCTAAGAACTGCAACTTCTCAACTCTCTCTCTCTCTCTCTCAAATATACACTTTTCCTATCTTTATTTTCAGAGTTTTACTTAAAAGGTTGCAAAGTCTAAAATATGTCTACAAAAACAGAGAAACCAAAGCAAGTGAATTCATGGTTTCAGAATTCATGATCTGTCAATGGCACTGCATAGACTCTGATTTTTTTCTGAACAGAAACATCATTAGAACACTCAAGGAAAGTAAACTGGCCTGGCTTAAAAAATGCCAAACAATCAGGAAAAATATCATATGCAATATTTTTCAAAAGAAAAATTGTGAAATCCATGAAAATTGTATCTGGAAGCCTAAATCAGCTACTTGCAAATGAAAAGAAAGAGGCCTATAGCCAAATAGTTTGTAGTTTAAAATTATTGCAGATTAAAGTCTAGACTTACAAAGCACAATATTCACTCTATTCTTATAAAATCTAAAGTACCAAGAAAATGATTAATTACCACAAAGTATCACAGCAAAGTAAAATGTATGGAAGTTATATTCGAATTTTTGCAGTTTTAAACTGAAGATTAATTAACTTGATTCAAATAGGATTCAGATATATTATGTACAGTGCTCTACCACTGGTAAACAAATTTTGCACCAGCCAGCTGGACTGGAAACAAATATTGTTACCATATGGAATGCAAGCTTCATTAAGGGATGCAATAACTGAGTTACCATAAGCATGTGATCTCTTTACAGCATAGAACTAGAACTAGCAGGATGTTTTTTTCATTTTAACCATTAGGAAATAAAAAAAGCTAAAGTCAGGGTATACACACTTATAATCCTGTGCAAGCTTTAATGCCACTTTACAACTGAGCAATATACTGGCAAGAGATATTTGAATTACTGATTCTATAGCAGACATCAAAACCATCATATAGAATTTTTATCTAACACTAGGAATTTGCAAACTTACTATTCAAGAGGCAGATATGTATTATTTGCATCCATCTAATACTTAGTGAAAGAAGTCTTAGAAATTCTGTGTAATAAAGTGTTTGCTGTCTATAGTTGTCTCAAACCATGAATTAACTAGGCTTGGATTTTTGAATTCAAGAGCACAGACTGGCTCTTGAGTCAGGTTAGGTTTGGTTAAAATCTAACTATTTAAAATAGGAAATTATTTCCATCACAGATTATCAGGATTTATTAAGAGTTTCCTCATAGGACTGCATACCACACCCATAGAATTAAACTACAGATGCACTGGTTCATTGGTCATTAGACAAAGACGCCCGATTTTAATATTTAAAGAAACATCTGAAAATGTATTTTACACCACACAACTCTCAGACAGACTTGCACAGTGAATGAGAATACAGCAATTCTCTGAATAACGTGTTTCGAACATTTGAGGGGGGAAGTGATGAAGAATTGCTGAGATCTGTACGCTGCTGAGTATCAATTTACACTTAAAAAAACCAGAACGAGCTGCCAACATCTCCTTCGGCAGTTGCTTCGTTTTAGGGAAGTAACTGGGCTATAGCAGTCTCCGATGAGC